TCCTCACGTGCACCGAGATGTTTGGCGATCATGCGGAAGCACAATGGTGCGGCAGCGCGGCAGCGAGCTCGGAGGGCGGCCTTCAGCCATACACAACCGTGGCACCTCGCACGACATGAACAAGCCTGCCCCTCTCGCACCTCTCTCCCCCTCCAAGAGCAAGACGCCGACGGCCACGCCAGCACCCAGATCCTGCCGAACCCGCTCGATTCGGGCCCGGTAGCGGGCAAATCGAGCGGCGTCGTGGACGAGGCCAAGTGGTGCGCGCTGTGCGAGCGTGACGGCCATGACAGCGTCGATTGCCCGTTTGAGGACGCGTTCTAGGTGTGTCGGCGTAGCGACGCTTGTCGCTTTCTTGCACTTTTCTTTTGCCCCGAAGTAGGCCTTACCTTTGACACAGCCTCGGCGACGGTTCGATTTCCCTTTTCGTTCATACTTGATGCACACGGCATACGGGCGTATTCTGAGCGAGAACGATGATACCACTGTTTGAAAACGCCTCTTGCCCACGATATGCGAGGCTCATGGTTTCCCTCTACTGTACGACGAAGTCTGGGGAGGCCACTTGGAGGTCTCATCCTTTCCTTACCTCTCTGTCTCTTCTCTTACGGCTGGATGGATGATGATGACAACGAGGAGGCACGATACCTGGTTTTGACCGGGACCAAGATCATTCCTTGCTTAAGAGGATGACTGGACGACGTAGGATATTTTAATTGCAATGACTCTTCTTCAACTGTGGACACGAATGCGTGGTGTCTTTGACAACGACGCTGGAGGTACATGTTTTGCCTATCCCCTCCGGAGGGAGATGCGCAACCGTGCTCAAGTGCCAGAAGGGAATTGACATGGATGGTGTAACTCTTATGAGTGTCGGGTTAGAGCAGCTTATTATGGCTCGGTATAGACCGAACGACAATGCGTCATGTGGAATTCACGAGAAAAGTTGTTGCTTACCATGAATGCGCGCAAGACCAACCCAATGACCGAATCACCTTTGCGGCGCGAGCGGCAACAGATCAGACCACTCTTTAACCCGCCGTTGATGCGCTGCCTGATCGAGGCGCGTCCGGTGGGCCAGGTTGCCGGGGCCGAAGCTAACCATGCACACCCGCTTGTTCGGCGTCTCCCTAGACGAACCCCGTGACACGGCTTATCTAGAGCTGGAGGAACAAGAGGGGGGAAGACCCCTCTGGCTTTCGGACGGTGATGAACACCACATTATGCGCCATTGATCGTCGTCGTATTTCTGGAAAGCATCATCAGGATATTCACTCGACACATGACACATTGAAAAAATGGCCGACGCAGACGTCAAGACGTTCTCCCTCGGAGACTTTGCCCTTCAGTCGGGCGAGACGATCCCCGGCGCCTTCCTAGCGTACAAGACGTTCGGCGCGCCCTCGTCGCCGGCCGTCATCTACCCGACCTGGTACAGTGGCGCCATCGCCGACAATGAGTGGCTCGTCGGCGCCGGCAAGACGCTCGACCCGGCGCGCTACTACATCATCATGCCCGCGCTCTTTGGCAACGGCCAGTCGAGCAGCGCCCAGCAACACGGAGGCGGCAGGTAAGTCGCAGGGGT